AGGATGCCACTTAGAAAATATTTACTCAGCTTTGAGATTCAGTAGAAGGTATTATTCTAACAATATAGAATTGTTATATTTGAGGAAGCCTAAAGAAAGAAGAAATGTTTAATCAGAATGATAACTTAGAATCTTTATTGGAGTCTTGATTTATTTTGGAACATTACCCTTTCTGCAAAATAGTATCACTTCAAGCCGAAAAGGTGAGCTTTCCTACATTTCCTTTTTGTATATCTTTCCTCACTCCAACCCATAATTGTTCGTTGGCAGACAGCAATGACTGTTGTAATCGGAGAATTACCAAATTTCCGCACTATTAATTACGCAGGCTCGGTCGTTCGTGCGACAGCTGGCAGGATCTAAGGACGAAACTCCCAAACACCCAGACATCTAAACACCCACCCACTGTGGGTCGCTTTGGAAACGGAAGCAGCTGAGCTGTAACCAAAACAAAAGCTATGATAAATGTTATGCGTGCACCTACCCTTTGTTCGTCCTGGGCCAATCACCCCCGCAACTGGAACCCATCGGTATCTCCATTTAATTTACCCCCCCGCTTTCATCGAATGTCAGAGTCGGGATAAATGCGAAAATGCATTTGCGCATCAAACGCAGGCGGGCCAATAAATTCATTAATAAATGGGAAAGTGAAAAGCGCAGCAACTCTGCCGCTCCTGCCGCTTCAACTGCTCCTGCTCTTTGTTGTCCTTGTGGTCCTTGTGGTCAGAGATGGGTCCTGTTCTGCGCATAATGCAAACAGTGTTTGCCAAAGTCCTACACTGCCAGCAGACTTGTCTTAAAGCGCGGAGACTAGGGTATAACACTTTTTTAAGATTGTAGACATATATTAGTATATCATATGCAGGTATATTACTGAAAACTCAAGAGTCTTGGTAGTAACTCGTACGGAAATATCCGGAGTTTTATTAGGAGGTAAAAATGTATATATATTTAGATGCCTATACATTTTAATTTAAAGAAGAATCTAAATGAATTGTTACCACAATAATATAAAGATATTTATTTGCAGATTTTAATTTTATTTATAATTTACATTTTTTCCGTGTGAATCAATCCACTCTATAATCCACCAGCACCCCACCCCGCGGCTGAATAATGTATATTGAAATCGCATCGGCACTTGAAAGGGTGTGAGATATTGTACTTTATGCCGATTAATGCTGCCATGCTGGAGGACAAAACCCCTGGCCATTGATTTGATAGCCGGGCAAATGGCTCGCCACCTTCGCCACCTCTCCTGGCCATCCTATTTTGCACCCAGCCAGACGACTCCTGGCCAGCCTGTTGCCCATTTCAGAGATGCCCTTGCTTGTTCTTTGTGTCCCACCGACCAGCCGGCCAGTCATTCATCTCCCCGTTGTTGTTTCCTACATTGTGTGTGTGTGTGTGATTTCTTCTGGGTTTTAGGGTGTTTGCCGTTGTCTATTCACCGGATCCGTATCCCGGGTACCGGATTGCTGTGTTTATTTTGGTTGGAGCCAGACGGCAGAAAAAACAAGATAAAATGCTAGACTCGAGTTCCCCGACTATCAGATACCTGTTACTCAGCTAGTGGCAAACGAGAAATTTCAACATTTAAAAAAAAAAAAATTAAAAAAAAAATAAATTTCTAAATTTGAATGCAGAGTTTTAGAGAATTGCTCCAGAAACATTTAGAGGTATGCCACTTCAAAATCCGATTAAGATAAGTTGAGTTATGGAGTTTAGAACTTCAGTCTTTGGACATTTTTGAATTTCTACAACATCATAACATCTGAAAAAATAACAAAAAAATTTAAAAAAAATAAATTTCTAAATTTGAATGCAGAGTTTTAGAGAATTGCTCCAGAAACATTTAGAGGTATGCCACTTCAAAATCCGATTAAGATAAGTTGAGTTATGGAGTTTAGAACTTCAGTCTTTGGACATTTTTGAATTTTTTTTAATTTCTACAACATCATAACATCGGAAAAAATAACAAAAAAATTAAAAAAAAATAAATTTCTAAATTTGAATGCAGAGTTTTAGAGAATTGCTCCAGAAACATTTAGAGGTATGCCACTTCAAAATCCGATTAAGATAAGTTGAGTTATGGAGTTTAGAACTTCAGTCTTTGGACATTTTTGAATTTTTTTTAATTTCTACAATACATAACATCATAAAAATTACAAAAAAACTAAAAAAAAAATTAATTTCTAAATTTGAATGCAGAGTTTTAGAGAATTGCTCCAGAAACATTTAGAGGTATGCCACTTCAAAATCAGATTAAGATTAGTTGAGTTATGGACTTTAGAACTTCAGTCTTCGGACATTTTTTAATTTTTTTTAATTTCTACAATACATAACATCAGAAAAAATAACAAAAAAATTTAAAAAAAAATAAATTTCTAAATTTGAATGCAGAGTTTTAGAGAATTGCTCCAGAAACATTTAGAGGTATGCCACTTCAAAATCCGATTAAGATAAGTTGAGTTATGGAGTTTAGAACTTCAGTCTTTGGACATTTTTGAATTTTTTTTAATTTCTACAATACATAACATCATAAAAATTACAAAAAAACTAAAAAATAAATATAAAATAATATATATAATATAATATAAAATAAAAAATAAAATAAAAATAAATTTCTAAATTTGAATGCAGAGTTTTAGAGATTTGCTCCAGAAACATTTAGAGGTATGCCACTTCAAAATCCGATTAAGATAAGTTGAGTTATGGAGTTTAGAACTTCAGTCTTTGGACATTTTTGAATTTCTACAACATCATAACATCAGAAAAAATAACAAAAAAATTAAAAAAAATAAATTTCTAAATTTTAATGCAGAGTTTTAGAGAATTCCTCCAGAAACATTTAGAGGTATGCCACTTCATATTCCGATTAAGATTAGTTGAGTTAGATTGGGCGTTGCAATATTTGGATAAACATGCGCTGCGTCTACGTCTCTAGAAGCTGCATGCCTAATCTCAACATTCTAGCTTTTGTAGTTCCTGAGATCGAGGCGTTCATACGGACAGACGAGCGGACAGACGGACATGGCCAGTTCGTTTCGGCTATTGATCCTGATCAAGAATATTTGTTTGCCTTCTGCCTGGTACATACTTTTCAACGAATCTAGTATACCCTTTTGCTCTGCGAGTAACGGGTATAAAAACGCAGAAAGATTTACAGAGGCGCCTCGGACTCATAAAGTATTTAGTAGAGACGGCGATAGCGACACCAGGCACCTTCCGGTGAGTCCTGATGACTGGCCAGGATTTAATTCCCTTATTGGCTTGTAGTTGCTTAAACGCAGGTCCCTCAGTCCGCGCGAATAATGGGCACGGCTATAAGAAGAGTGGCTGCCCAAATATCTGATTCTAATTTGAGCAGACTGGGTCTAATGTGACGCATAGTTGCCTCACATAAATCTCTTCGGATGTCCCATTAATGTTCGAGTTGCGTTTGCAAGTGCAATTCTTGGCGCACATAATATGGGGCATTTAGTTTCAGCTGTTCGGTTGGAGGAAGAGAAGAAAATGGGTGGCAACAGTTGGCGGCCAATTGAAACTAATGAATAAATTACTTGTGCAGTGTAAGACAGTCAAATTGATGAGCGAAGTTCAACATGGGTCTGAACTCACAGATATATGTAGCTATATATCTGCGTTCGGCTTATATAGCTGGCTAGGCCGGAATTATTCGGCAGTGGGAACTCGACGAACAATAATAGTTGACCGGGCTGCAAATTGTGCAATACTGTGACAGCAATAAATGCATGCTTGATGGGCTGGAATGAAGCAACCAAATCAAAACAAAACCATTAAGATACATGGAGCAATGGATATCTTGTAGCTAAGAGGTACAGAGCTATGAGTATCTTGTATCTAACAGATACACTCGTATCTGGGGATGCTTTTTCCATAAATCTCTATGAGGATCAGCATCAGTTGGTCATGTACGATACTTTATGAAATGCCCTGCTCACTTTCAAGCCAACTATTTGCTTACCTGAGGTAACACCTTTCAGTTGGAAGGTTGCTCCAATGTCAAAAGCAAAGATACCTCCTTTGCTGCAGCCCGGCTGCTTAGCATTCCGGTCAGAGTCGGATAGAAGCTATAGAATGGACGACTCCCATGCCAATTTGTTGTTGTGCGCAAGAATTTCAAATATGTCCACAACAAAAGCAGCAAACAATAAAGGCAAGTGCATCAACAATGGAACGGTAAACGCGCCCAAGAAAACTGAGCAGCTCATTTATGGAAATTATTAAGTGCAAGCTCGGACCAAAGCGGTTATTTCTCCCCAGTCAAACGGCATTATTATGCGTACATATTTTTATGGGCAAGTGGACGGGAATGGGCACACCAACTGGCTGCCCAAGTCTTAGCAAGCGAGAGCTAATTAAATTTGGGACCCTCTTGATAAAACTATTAAAACTAGGGGAGTTGGGAAATCTTGGAAAACTTGCTGCCTTAAACGGTAGGTTCTATTAATGTCATTTTCACATTAAAGTTTAAACGAGAGACGCTTAAGTCAGCAAAGGTGTGAAACCACACGGAATTCCCTAACTCGCAGACCTTGAAGAACTAAATATATATTTGACTTATGGAGCCCTTATAAGAGTATGATCATAAAAAATGGCCATGGTAATTGCAACTTTGATTCTGCGCATCTCTCAATTGATCTTAATTAATGTTCACTTTAATTCGAGTGTCTTCTTATTGTCTGCTCTTTGGCATCCACATACGTAAAAAAATAAAATTCAAAATAGGATACACAGAGCTTCTTAAGCATAGTGGTACATATTTAAAAAAAAAACTGCTTTAGTAAAAGGGAATCATTACCCTGCGAATAATTTAAACGGGTTCTAAATGCAAAGAGCAAATTTAAATTATTAAAGCGTTCAACACCTCGCCTAATTGTCAACACTCACGTTTTCCCTTCTATTAGTGGAAACCATGAGGAAACCCACTGCCAAACCGCAAACCACTCCCACAGGACGAGTGAGCCTATATAACCGCCTTCCCGAGCACGACTAGCCACAAACCGCCTTCGGAATGGAACAAGTGCAGTACAACTACGAGGACTTCGCTCGATTACCCACGACGGTGTTTTGGATCATGGGCTACGACATGCTGGACGTACCAAAGACCAGGTCCCGCAGGATACTATATCGAATATATCGCTTCCTTTGCCTCGCCAGCCATGCGGTCTGCGTGGGAGTTATGATATTTCGCATGGTGGAGGCGAAGACTATTGACAATGTGTCGCTGATCATGCGCTACGCCACTCTGGTTACCTATATCATCAACTCGGATACCAAGTTCGCCACCGCTTTGCAAGGCAATGCCATCCAAAGCCTGAACTCTAAGCTGGCTGAACTCTATCCGAAAACCACACTGGACAGGATCTATCACCGGGTGAATGATCACTACTGGACAAAGTCGTTTGTATATTTGGTTATAATTTACATTGGTTCGTCGATAATGGTTGTCATTGGACCGATTATTACGTCGATTATAGCTTACTGCGCACAAAACGTATTCACCTACATGCACTGCTATCCATACTTCTTGTATGATCCTACGAAGGATCCGGTTTGGAAGTACATTGGCATCTATGCTCTGGAATGGCTGCACAGCACACAGATGGTCATTTCGAACATTGGCGCGGATATCTGGCTGCTGTACTTTCAGGTGCAGATCAATCTTCACTTTAGAGGCATTATACGTTCACTGGAGGATCACAAGCCCAGTGTGAAGCACGACCAGGAAGACAGGAAATTCCTTGCGAAAATCGTGGACAAGCAAGTTCACCTGGTCAGGTAATTGTGCACGTGATTTACAGCCAATGTGTTCAGTGATGGTTGAATTTTACGATGAGCACTTTGAACAGTTTGCAAAACGATCTGAATGGCATCTTTGGGGGATCGCTGCTTTTGAGCCTGTTGACCACCGCCGCGGTTATCTGCACGGTGGCGGTGTACACTCTGATTCAGGGAGCCACTTTGGAGGGCTTCACATATGTGATCTTCATCGGGACTTCGGTGACGCAGGTCTACCTGGTGTGCTATTACGGTCAGCAAGTTCTGGATTTGGTTGGTTATGGCTGAAGTCCTAGGTTTGCCCGCTAACAGAGGTTCTTTCCAGAGCGGCGAGGTGGCCCACGCCGTGTACAATCATGATTTCCACGATGCTTCTATAGCCTACAAGAGGTACCTGCTCATCATCATTATCAGGGCACAGCAGCCCGTGGAACTGAATGCCATGGGTTACCTGTCCATTTCGCTGGACACCTTTAAACAGGTAAAATGCTAACACTACTTATTTTATATGATATTATTTGCATTTCTTATTCAAATGCAGCTGATGAGCGTTTCCTACCGCGTTATAACCATGCTTATGCAGATGATACAGTAGAGAGCAATACAAGCACGGAATTTGCAACATTGGACGCTTTAATCGCACTACGCTAGTAACTAGTATGTTTATATATAACTAGATCACTTGGGATCCGAGGGAAGCTTGAAGCCCACCAAATCGGCGGTATCCCTTACGGATCTCTCGCCCCTCCCGTGGTATTCCTTGTAGAGCTCCACGTACTGTCGCTGGCTGGCCAGGTAGGTCAGATAGGTTTGGCCAAGGAAAGTCGCCTCGTTGCGAGCCTTGCAGAATTGTTGCTCCGTGGTGGCGAACTTCTTGTATTGCGCCAGAATGTAACGCGCGGCCAGCGAGTCCTTGATGCATCCATTTGGCGACGCCTGGCGCAATTCGTGCAGCAGGGAGCGCAGCACCTTGGTTCCCGCCATTCTAAACACACATTTGCAATTGTATATTTAAGAAACACAAACAATCAACGACTTACGTGATTTTCAAGAAAATTCGTAGTGTTTCTGCCGAACAGCTGTTTTCTACAGAGTTGCCACACAGCCATAAATCAAAATACAGTGATCCCTGCAAGCATTGAACAATAAGGCTGCGCCTTTTTCTTGTTTTATAATTATCAATATCAATTTAGAAAATTACTTTTTGACCCCATATATACTGAAACTGCAACTTTGTTATTTAAAATATATTTGACATTCATTTTGGAAATTGCCTTGTAGAAGCTATACAAATCTATAAGTCGTAATGTCTGATTGGAAAACAAGGACAACCAATAAGTAAAGGGCACAATCCGACTGAATTGGTGAACTAAAAATACAAACAATGAATCCAGTTGGAAAAAACAATTTATTTTAAAAGTTATTTAGCAGTACACCGAACTCGTAGCTAGTTGGCTTTTCACTTCCTGGGCTTGCCGGCGGCTGGCTTCTGGCCGGGCTTCTTGCCAGCGGCTCCCTTGGCGCCAGCACCACCCTTGGTGACCTTGCCGGCACCGGCCTTGGTACCCTTGGCACCAGCGGCGGGCTTCTTCTTGGGCTCGGGCTTGGCCTTGGGGGCCTTCACCGGCTTGACGAGCGCCTCGCGCTGGCTCTTCAGGGCCTTAACGATCTTCTGCTCCTCGATGAGGAAGGCGCGCACGATGCGCTCGCGCAGGCAACTGTGGCACAGCACTCCACCGTAGGTCCTGGACACGGTCTTCAAGCGCTTGGACATCCGGGGGCGCTCGCTGGGGCGGGATGGGGTGATACCCTTCAACTTCTCCTTGCACTGGCCGCAACGGGGCACGGTGGGGTTCTTCTTCACATACTGGTAAACCAGACGTCCACCGGGCGTGCGAACACTGTAAAAGGGCAAAGGTGCGTTATAGTGTCATATTTCATATCGGTGGGGTATATTGCAGTCGGATAGTTACATGCGCCGCTTGTTGGAGCGTGTGTTGTAGGACAGGCGTCTCCGGAGCGTCAGACGTTGGACCATTTTGCTGTTGTTGCTGCTGGCCGTGGCGTTTGGTGGGTTACATATGCAAAAGCGGTGAAAATCATTATTAGTTTGATGCTACACTGGGATGGGCGCAGTCTGAGCTGCATTTGGTGGTATATTTTCACGGTTTTTTCACACATTGCGGCGAATTTCTGTGAAATTGTAAATTGAACACGTGCATACCTCAAAGAGACGAAACTAGAAAGAAAGGTGGCAACTCTGTTCGCGCACGACGTAAACTTGGCTGCGCTGCCCGCTTTACGGCACTTTCAAACACTGTTCACCTTGCCAGACTGTGTTAAAAACATAGGCATAGATTGTTTATTTGTTTTTGGAAAGATGGCCACTTACGTTACGGTTTAACGTTATATCTTCAATTATAAAATAGTAATAAACTGAATTTGTTTTTAATTCATAAAACGTTAGTATAATTTGTTATCAAAACGCAAAAAGATAACAGCAAAGATTTGATAACAGCAATATGACCAAATCTAGCAACAGTAAGTCTTACTCAAAATTAAAAACCTGAACTACTTAAATATTTTTGATTTAATAGTCATGCGTTTAGCGCTACTGCAACTAATGCATTGCAATGACAAGGTGGCCAATGTCCAAAATGCCGCCAGCAAAATCGAGTCGGCTGTCAAGGAACACAGGCCGCGATTGATCGTTCTGCCGGAGTGGTTCAATGCTCCCTTCCGGAGCTATTCCGAGACCATTCCCGATGGCTACACCTCGCAGCATCTCTCCAATCTGGCCAGAAAGCATCAGGTGTATATTGTTGGCGGAACGATACCGGAACTGGGCGAAAACGATGCCGTCTACAACACCTGCACTGTTTGGTCACCCACTGGTGACCTAGTGGCCAAGCACCGCAAACTGCATCTCTTCGATGTTGATGTCAAGGGCGGTATTCGCTTCAAGGAGTCGGAAATGCTGTGCGCAGGCAATGATTTCACTATTATAGACATTGATGGACACAAGATTGGCATCGGCATCTGCTACGACATCCGATTCGAGGAGATGGCCAGGCTATACCGCAACGCAGGCTGCGAGATGATCATCTATCCGGCTGTATTCAACATGACTACTGGTCCACTCCACTGGGAGCTGGTGCAGCGATCCCGTGCTAACGACAATCAACTCTTTGTGGTCACTACATCGCAAGCCCGTGACACAAACGCCAATTATGTGTCATATGGTCATTCCATGGTGGTGAATCCCTGGGCGATGGTGCAGCAGAGTGCCAGTGAAGGCGAGGAAACAGTGGTGGCCGATATAGATTTTTCCGAGGTGGAGCAGGTGCGTCAGCAGATTCCCATCTTTGGACAGCGAAGGATAGACCTGTATGCCACCGAAAATAAGTCTAAAAAGAGAGAATAATGAGAAGTCCAAAGGTTGCTAGGCAAGGTCAAAAGCACTCTTAAAAAGTTAAGCTTTGCATTCATGTTATTTGTTTGTTGTATATAAAATTTAATGGACCTACACACATGTAGCATTGATTTCCGACCACAAACTATTATGCTTTATCTAGTTGATTATCGCTAGGAGCTACCTCGGATGCAGCTGATTGCACGTAGTGTGGCCGCTGGGCCTGGTCGACTAATGATGGTTGACTAATGAATTCCAAAGCCTTTTGGTAACCACCAGCAGGCTCTTCAGCTCACTGTTCACCTGCATTTGAAATTTATACTGGGCCTGAAAGTAATTCCGTTCCTCGTTCGTTTTGGACAGCTCCTCCTTAAGGGAGTTAAGCTTTTGGCGGTTGCTGACTGTGTCTGCATCTTTAATATTCGTCGTCTCAGTCTCTAGTTGCTGGGTGCGCAGCTTGGACACCTGATCCAGGTCCAGGTTGTTGTGTTTTGTGTTTATTCGTTGGCTCAGGGGGGAATTGGTCCAGATGCGGCCAAGACTAGTCACCAGTGCGGAATCGCTGCGCGAACATAAGAAAACCAAGGCCTCCAAGCTTGTGCCCTTCGAACCATATGCGGCTGTGAAGGGTATGCAAGCCGGGAAGGGGCAGATTGAAGCCTTCCTGTCCATGTCCTTTCATGTCCTCCTGGACAACGAAGCTGTCCTTCCGCGACAATTGTGGCCTCTTCATCTTGGTGTCCACTTCAGCACTGGCTGGTACTTCACTCTCTGTTTTGGCCGTTCCACTGTTTTCCGGCTGCTCCATGCCATCGCCACTGGTGCGACACCTGGCACCACGCTTTTAGTTGCTTCAATTTCATGGCAATCTTGGGCAGGTAAAACTAGATTTTCTTAATTTAAGAATTTTTCCGGCTGTGCCCACAAAACCAAAACAATGGCCGAGGGCTGCCAACTGGCTGTAATAGAGTTTGTTATTTGCAGTGTTGGTAAAGATCTAAATACTTGTAACTAGCTACGATATTAGAACCTTAAAAGCTTAGTAAATTGTTAATTGTTAAACTTAAGATTTATTAAAAGGAAATGCATTTTGCTTTTGAAATGCACCCTTTCTCACAAAAGGGGTAAAAAATAAATCAATCTTCAACAGAGCACTTAAGTCAAGTATGACCAGAAAGGGTTGTTCAAAAAACGTGTAAAATTTTATATTGATCCCTTTTACTACGCCCCTGTAATTACTTGTTGTTTTGCTTGCGGTAGAATCTGTTATCAAACCGCATAAAGATAACATTTAATTGCAGCAATATGAGCAAAACTAGCAGCAGTAAGTCTTTCTCGAAATGTAAAGTAGTTCCACTTAAATGTATCTGATTTAATAGTCATGCGTTTGGCGCTACTGCAACTAAAGGGTTCCAAGGACAAGGTGGCCAATGTCCAAAACGCCGCCAGCAAAATCGACGCGGCGGTCAAGGAACACAAGCCTCGATTGATCACTCTGCCCGAGTGCTTCAATGCTCCCTACGGCACCAAGTACTTCCGGGAGTACTCCGAGACCATTCCCGATGGCTACACCTCGCAGCATCTCTCCAATCTGGCCAGGAAGCACCAGGTGTATATTGTTGGCGGAACGATACCGGAACTGGGCGAAAACGATGCCATCTACAACACCTGCACTGTTTGGTCACCCACTGGTGAACTAGTGGCCAAGCACCGCAAGATGCATCTCTTCGATATTGATGTCAAGGGCGGCATTCGCTTCAAGGAGTCGGAAACGCTGTGCGCAGGCAATGATTTCACTATCATAGACATTGATGGACACAAGATTGGCATCGGCATCTGCTACGACATCCGATTCGAAGAGATGGCCAGGCTCTACCGCAACGCAGGCTGCGAGATGATCATCTATCCGGCTGCATTCAACATGACCACTGGTCCACTTCACTGGGAGCTACTGCAGCGATCCCGTGCCAACGATAACCAACTCTTTGTGGTCACTACATCGCCCGCTCGTGACACAACCGCCGAGTATGTGGCCTATGGCCACTCCATGGTGGTGAGTCCCTGGGCGAAGGTGCAGCAGAGTGCCAGTGAAGGCGAGGAAACAGTGGTGGCCGATATAGATTTTTCCGAGGTGGAGCAGGTGCGACAGCAGATTCCCATCTTTGGACAGCGACGGATAGATCTGTATGCCACCGAAAATAAATCCAAGTAGAGAGAAGAATCGAGAAGTCCAAAGGTTGCTAGGCAAGGTCAAAGGCACTCTTAAAAGTTAAGAGTGTTTTGTTTTAACCCCTTAAAGCTTTGCATTTGTTATTTGTTTGTATATAAAATTTAATGGACCTACACACATGTAACATTGATTTCTGACCACAAACTATTATGCTTTATCTAGTTGATTATCGCTAGGAGCTACCTCGGATGCAGCTGATTGCACGTAGTGTGGCCGCTGGGCCTGGTCGAAAAGAGCTCTTATGGCTTCATCGGTGGCCATCAAGGGTTGACTAATGAATTCCAAGGCCTGAAAGTTAAATAAGGTTTACCATTAACTGGGTGCTCAAATCTCCATTAAATCACTTTAACTAGTGGTGTACTTACCCTAACTGCGTACTTCTCCGCCTCGCAAAGTGGACTTGTGCTCGCGCTGGACAGCTTAAGTGTCTCCTCGGGAATGCCCACGCCAGTGTGCAGGACCATGCGCTGTAGGATGTTCAGGTTTTCGGCACTAAGGCTGATGACATCGGTGGCGGGCAGGTTGAGGAAACGAATTTTGGCCAGGAACTTCAGTTGCTTTAGCATATCCAGTTGAATTTCGCGTATCTGGTGGGTGGCATGCAGCAGTTGCTTTGTTGATTCATTCAATAGCTGATTCTTCTGGGTGAGATCGGCTTTCCAGCGGGCTAACTCCTCGACCATAACACTGCTGGCAAGGAACTTGGATCGCCAGACCTCACACTGGCCGGCCAGGAACTCAATCTGCTCGGTGTGAGTGGTCAAATTGTTGGCAGTGTCCAGTAGTGCCCTAGCCAGTTGTAGTTTGTCCTCCGTGAGGAGATTAACCCGTGTCTGCAGATCCTCGCCCACGGAGGCCACGAGTAGGCTCTTTAGCTCGCTGTTCACCTGCGTTTGGAACTTATACTGGGCTTGAAAGTAATTGCGTTCCTCGCGCATCTTGGCCAGCTCTTCCTTAAGGGAGTTTACCTCCTGGCTGCTGACTGTATTTGCATCCTTAATATCCGTCAGCTCAGTCTCCAGTTCCTGGGTGCGCAGCGTGGACACTTGATCCACCAGCACTGCGATGTCCAGGTTGTTCTTGTCCCGATGAATTTTGTGTTTATTCGTTGGCTCAGAGATCATTGGATTTACGGCACCCGGATAAGGTTCGAAGGGCACAAATTTGGGGGGCTTGGTTTTCTTATGTTCGGGCAGCGATTCCGCACTGGTGACCAGTCTCGGCCGCATCTGGACCAATTCCCCCTTGGGCACAACGGGTGCCAAGCTCCGGGTAACGATCTCGGGGCGTCTGTAAAGGGTATGCAAGCCAGGAAGGGGCAGATTGGAAGCTGGACCGCTGCTAGTTGAAGCCTTCCTGTCCATGACGGCCTCCTGGACAACGGAGCTGTCCTTCCGCGATAATTGGGGTCTCCTCACCTTGGTGTCCACATCAGCACTGGCTGGTACTTCACTCTCTGTTTTGGCCGCTCCACTGTTTTCCGGCTGCTCCATGCCATCGCCACTGGTGCGACAAGCCGGGGATTTGTCCGTTCCTGGCATCGCGCTTTCAGTCGCTTCCATTTCTTGGCAATCTTGGCCAGGCAAAACAAAATTTTCCCTATTTAAGAATTTTTTCTGGCTGTGCCAGCAAAACAAAAACAATGGCTAAGAGCTGCCAACTCGCAGTAAAGGAGTTTGTTATTTGCAGTGTTGGTAAAGATCTAAATACTTGTAACTAGTTACGATATTATAAATTTAAGAGCTTATAAATTGTTAAACCTAAGATTTATTCAGTGGAAATGTATTTGCTTTTGAAATGCTCCCCTTCCGACAAAAGTGGTAAAATGAATAAATTTCCAACAGAGCACCAACGCCCAGTGTAACCAGAGTACGCCAACATAAAAATTCACGATACACTCAATTTAACAGCGCTTTTTCGCCCACCCACGCACACGTTCACACTTTTTGATAAAGTCGATTGATCTGATTGACCGAGAAAAAAAAACAAACAAACACAACGAAAAAAGGGTGAACTGGTGCCGGCGTGCCGAAGATACCATTAACGCCAACTCCCACCAACCGCCGGCCACGCCTCTTGCCCGCCCGCGGAGCGCCAAAGGATGTCCTCAGTGGAGGCCGAGGTGCTGCAGAAAATCGATCTGATTGAACCCACAACCGGAAAATTGTTTTTCGAGCACAAAACGGAGCTGCTTTTCTGCCGGCCACATCTGATGCCGCTGAAGACGCAGGCGCTGGAACGCCTGGAGGAAATGCATCGGGACACCGCTCGCCAATTGCAGAAGAAGCGCCAGCAGAAGAAGTCCACAGAGCCCACAGGCTCGCTATGAACCAGTCCTCCTCAATCGCAAGAACCCAGTCGTCATAAGCACACACACACACACACGGACGCACCACAAACACACACACACAGAGAATCACTGAAAAGCACAAGGACTGAGTAGATCGGCACCTGGATTAGGATTAGGATTAGCACTAGTCAGCATGGCATACCTACTGAGCTTCGGCATCGTGGCCGCCCTATTCCTGGCCAGCATCTCACTGTACCGCTACGGAAACATACCACGTCAGCACATCCTGGTCACCCTGTCCGTGCTGACCGCCTGGTGCTTCTCCTTTCTGATTGTATTCACCATTCCGCTGGACGTAACATCGGTGAGTTGGGATGTGGAGCTATTACAGCATTTGCAATCGAATATAGCCAAAATAGCGATCAACAGAAACATTAAAACAACTAAATTTTGAGACACATTAATATGATTTTGTAAAGGCGAATATTGGTCTTCTTAATGCGTGCAAATGCTTTTGTCCTTTCTGCCATATGTTGTGGTTTTGTATATCCTTGTTGGAAAAAAATATATAAGTCAATCTTGATGAATGTATATAAGACTAGGATGATTATCATCCGATTCTGATAAGTGTTTTGGGTAAGCGCAGAAATTATAAATATCTCAAAACACGATTCAAATACCAAAAAAATGCATCTCATATTTTCATATCCATAGAAACACAGTTTGTTGCTTTTCATTGTATTGTTCGCGAGACTTGGGAAACTTTAGCAATTTTTAATCAAAGCCTATTCTATTGTTTCCAAATTCAGAACAGAAATTAATTAGTTCTTTATCTAAAGCTTCACAGACACCCACCAAATTGTAAACATACATTGTTTTTTTGACTGGAATTTCTTATCTGTAAATGAATCACATCTAAAGCTAGACAGAAAAAAAACCCGATTCGATTATAGAAATACGAATTGGCCGTTTTTGTGGTTTTGGATATAATCTATTGTTATTTGGTTATCAACTCATTTGATAAGAGTTTATACAAATAAGCAGTACAAATGTATAATTCCCATTGCAGACCCTTTACCGCCAGTGCGTGGAGGAGCACCGACCCACGCCAGCCCCAAATGTGACCAACACGTCGACCGCCACTGTGGCTCCGCCGCCTCAGTGCCAGGAGCCGTGGGGCATGGTACCCGCCTCCGTGTTTCCCAACCTTTGGCGCATTATTTACTGGAGCTCGCAGTTCCTCACCTGGTTGATCATGCCGCTGATGCAGTCGTACCTCAAGGCGGGCGACTTCACCGTCAAGGGAAAACTTAAATCGGCGCTGATAGAGAATGCGATCTACTACGGTTCCTATCTGTTCATCTGTGGCGTACTACTCATCTATATAGCCGTCAAAGGGGAGTCTCTGGATTGGCAAAAGCTAAAGGCAATTGCCTCGTCCGCTTCGAACACATGGGGATTGTTCCTGCTCATCCTGTTGCTGGGATACGCTCTGGTGGAGGTACCTCGATCACTGTGGAACAACGCCAAGCCGGGATTCGCACTGCAATATGCCTACTTTAAGGCAGCCAAACTGAGCACTGAGAAGGCCGAGGCCGAGGAGCATGTGGATGACATCCTGGAGTCCCTGCAAGGCCTAAGCCGGGTCATACCCAACAATCACGAGCTCCGCCCCTGCCTGGAGACCATTCTGCGCAAAGTTCCCATTGAGCTGCAAGAGCGTGCAAGCAGAAACTTTGCGCGCACTGGAGGCAGCGGCATGGGTGCCACGAGCTCAACTATCTTGCCTTCGGAAAAGGCGCTGGTTCGCATTCATAAGCAAGTAATCAAATCCCTGCAAACATTGCAGCGCACTGAAGCACTGTGGAGCGTGCAGGTGCAGACAGTGCTGCATCTAGAGGATGTGGCAAAGAATATTCACTCTTCGGACCGGCGCTTCAAATCGGAGTTTCCGCGCCAGCGCACGCAGCTGGAGAGGATCTGTTACAGCGCCACTCTGCAGTGGTACTGGGAGTGCCTGCTGAAGGCTCCGTTCCTGAAGACCATGTGCGTTCTGACCGCCACCATGTCGGCCATGGTGGTGTGGAGCGAGCTAACCTTCTTCAGTCGCCACCCTGTGCTTTCCATTTTCGCCAACGTGATTTACGTGGCCAAGGAGAGCTACGACTTCTTTACTATTGAAGTCTTCTCTATGGTTGTTCTCTGTTACTTCTTCTACTGCACTTACTCCACGATCTTGAGGATACGCTTCCTCAATCTGTACTATCTGGCACCGCATCACCAGACCAACGAGCACAGTCTGATCTTCAGCGGCATGTTGCTTTGCCGTTTGACCCCACCCATGTGTCTCAATTTCCTGGGTCTCATCCATATGGACACACACATCATTCCCAATGTGAGTAGTAGACTTGTTTGCAAACACTGAAATGCATAAACTTATAATCTATTCCTCAGCGTATTATGGAGACGGTCTACACACAGATCATGGGCCACATGGACGTTATTGGGATTATCTCGAACGGCTTCAATATCTACTTCCCTATGTGTATGCTGGCATTCTGTCTGGCCACATGGTTTAGCCTCGGCAGTCGGGCCCTGAATGCCCTCGGCTTCCAACAGTTCCTGCAGAACGAAACGATTGCTACCGAGCTGGTGCAGGAGGGAAAGGATCTGATAGCGCGGGAAAAGCGCCGCCGCCAGCGGGCCGAGGAGGCGATGGCCAGGAGGCGTGACTTTAACCGAACCGATCAGGTTCTGGGCAGCGATTACTTAAGCAAATATCGGAGTGGAGGACACGGTGGGCTGGCCGGAAGTCGCACGCCCGCCGACGGGCTGCTTCGCGATGGTGACAGCAGCTTTGACTATGCGGCGGTGGCTTCTTCCTCCGCACTGGGCGTATCGCGCTCCCTGTCGGAGGAGATCAATGACCGATTCGGTGTGAGCACCCATGTGCAGGTGGGATTCCGAGACCCGGACTACGAGACGGAGACAGATGGTCGAATTGTTGGCCCGCCACCCCGAGGACTTTTTGACGATGTCTAGACAACAAATATGGATATCTCTTTATTTCAATTCGTTACCGAGTATCTCTCAATGCCCGCAATGTTCCCTAGTATTAATGTTTCGCTCGTGCTTAAGTATTTCCCGATGCCACTGCTGCTGCTGTTCCTTCACACCTATGTACACCATTCAGTTGAATAAACCACTAGAAAGGATCCTTGGCCGTCCTCGGAGGGGAATGGCGCGATTCGTCGCCGATGTGCTGGCTAGTTTCCAGACCACTATCCGTGCTAGTGCCCTGCGATTCCAATTCCGTCGACTGTTTCGCCTCCGTTGAGTATTTGGAGCTTTCTAGATCGATACTTGAGTCCTCTGGATCCACATCTGGGATCTTCTGGTTGTTTTCCGACATCGGTTTTTTGCTCAGCTGCGATATGGGATGCACATTTATGCGCTTGCGTCCACGCAGATAGCCACTGCGTGAGGTAACCGGAGACGTCGGGGAATACATCTTCGCCTTGATTTCAATGAATGGAATATTTTTTGGCACATCCGATATCCTGTCAGTTGCGTGAGGCAATGTCAAATTGTCAATCATTCAAAATTTTACTCGATATTTTTTAGCTTAGCGTCGAAATCCCTAATCCAGAATAGTAATGCTTATGTTGTATTATCGGCTTAGAAATTAACTTTTATTTGTTAACCTAGAATACACAGCAATTGCAACAGGAGCTTAACAATGGTGGTCTTTTTGTATGTGTGAATTGGTATGGTATCGAAAAGAAATCCAAATAGGAAATATGTACTACCGACGGGACTCGAAGGCCAGTGCTGAGACCCGTAGAACCAGTGCATTGTGCTCCTTAATGTGTTTCCATTAGTGTGTTGGTGTTTAGTGTGATCTTGGGAGGATAGATACTCCTTATTCGTCGCCGCCACCCTCTTCGTCCTCATCGAATTCGCCCTCCTCGTCGGCTGTCGCCTCCTGGTATTGCTGATACTCCGATACCAAATCGTTCATGTTGCTCTCGGCCTCTGTGAACTCCATTTCGTCCATTCCCTCGCCGGTGTACCAATGCAGGAAGGCCTTCCTCCTGAACATGGCGGTGAACTGCTCCGACACCCGCTTGAACAGCTCCTGAATGGCAGTGGAATTGCCAATGAAGGTGGCCGACATCTTGAGGCCCCTGGGTGGAATATCGCACACCGCCGTCTTGCAATTATTCGGGATCCACTCAACGAAGAAGCTGCTGTTCTTGTTCTGGATGTTCAGCATCTGCTCGTCCACCTCCTTCATGGACATGCGGCCACGGAAGATGGCGGCGACGGTCAGGTAGCGACCATGTCGCGGATCGCAGGCGGCCATCATGTTCTTGGCATCGAACATCTGCTGGGTCAACTCTGGCACGGTTAGAGCCCGGTACTGTTGCGATCCTCGCGAGGTCAGCGGAGCGAAACCGGGCATGAAGAAGTGCAGCCGAGGGAACGGTACCATGTTCACGGCCAGCTTGCGAAGATCGGCGTTTAACTGGCCAGGGAACCGCAGGCAGGTCGTAACGCCAGACATTGTAGCCGAAACCAGATGGTTAAGGTCACCATAGGTGGGCGTCGTCAGCTTCAGTGTGCGGAAGCAGATGTCGTACAACGCCTCGTTGTCGATGCAGTACGTCTCATCCGTGTTCTCCACCAACTGGTGCACACTTAGGGTGGCATTGTAGGGCTCCACCACCGTATCGGACACCTTGGGCGAGGGCACCACCGAAAAGGTGTTCATGATGCGGTCGGGGTACTCCTCGCGGATCTTCGAGATCAGCAGGGTTCCCATACCCGAGCCAGTGCCGCCACCCAGCGAGTGGGTCAGCTGGAAGCCCTGTAGGATAAAAGTGAAGTGTATAGACTGATCCTCAATCGCTCCAGTAATCGAACTTACCTGAAGGCAATCGCAGCCCTCAGACTCCTTTCGCACCACATCCAAGACAGAGTCCACCAGTTCAGCACCCTCGGTGTAATGACCCTTGGCCCAGTTGTTGCCTGCCCCCGACTGGCCAAAGACAAAGTTGTCCGGCCGGAAGATCTGACCAAAGGCGCCAGAGCGAACGGAATCCATGGTGCCGGGCTCTAGGTCCACAAGGATGGCACGAGGAACATACTTGGCACCGGTGGCCTCGTTGTAGTACACATTGATGCGCTCCAGCTGAAGATCGCTGTCGCCATAGTACGTTCCGGTCGCGTCTATGCAGTGCTCATCCGAGATCACCTCCCAGAATTTACCACCGATCTGGTTACCGCACTGACCGGCCTGGATGTGTACAATTTCACGCATCTTGGCAAGTTGTCAAGGGTCAACTGCTGGCAAACCGATTGTGGAAAAATGTGGGTTTCTTTTTCACAACGAAAAATTGGTAGATAAAAAACTGTGCTTCAATATCAGTCTGAGAGGGGCAAAAAGCGGCGAAAGACTGAATATTTAAACGTATAATTTTTCAGATTTATATTTTAGTCGTGTACTTGCTAGCTGATACTGAGGTGGACTGAACCTGGTTGGGATTACTTCTCGGAATGTTCAGAGATGGGCTACTACGATCTGTGACTTTGACATCTTTCACATTCCCAAATTTCAGAAAACCCAGTTCTTTGGTTTTGAGCAAAAACTTTAATAGTACTTAGATAATCGAATATACAGCTAAAATTGGAGATGGGATGGATTTGGCGGTGCCTAAGAACCAATAGAGGATTCCAAGGCTTTTGACCAGATGATACGATTGATATTGACATGGATGTTGTGAAGTTTCCTCCTTTGTAAAGGGGTACATGTGTGTATAATGGGATGGGTCCATTATTCTTTCTGCAAAATGCGCCTTTTTAAGACATGTAACCTTGCTGTCCAAACTCCTATGTATTATAGCAAATATAATCGACCCATCCTGGTGTAAAAATCTACGTAGGGAAGGTTCGTCTAACAACCAAATTTTGGCGGCGGCTGGGTCTCTACAGGATTGTAAATACGATTTGGTGATCCATTGGCTCTGGCTCCTACAAGGAGGAGTCCCACAGCTGGCTGTACGGATATCAGACGGAGGCTCGCTTCAGGCACAAGGTGCTCTCGATGATGTCGGTGGGCTGGAAGTCCGGATCCACGAACTGCTCATGATTCAGGCACCTTGTGCCACCCATGCAGGTACAGGAACACAGAGAGGCTGTCTCATCGTTCTCAGTGGTGTAGTTGTTCTCCAGCAGCTTGCCATGCATATTGTACGTGGACTCATCATCAAAGGTCACCGGTTGGGCATTTCCGGCCAGGTTCTGGGCATCCTGCTCATCTCTCTTGGCATCCTCCGCTTGCCTGTGGATCGAGATCCATTAAATTTGATCCATTAAATTCCTGCACTAGAAATCGACTTACATGGTCATGAAGCGGAGCACCAACAAATTAATACTGGCGGCCACCACGGCCAAACCGAACAGGATGAAGACCAAGCTCAGCGCGACGTAACCAGGCTTATTAGTTAGAGCTTGATCGTTCTGCAATGCCACATAATCGCCGAAGCCAATTGTCGTCAAGGTGACGAAACAATAGTAGAAGCTATCGAAGTAGCTCCATCCCTCGTATCGGGAAAATACTGCAGCTCCAGTGGTGATTATTATGGAGGAGAGCATTCCGGTGGCCAACATCAGATTCATCTCGGTGGCATCCGTACAGCGGGCTCCACTGGCTCTCTTTGCCCGCCTTATAATCACTGATGCGAACTTATTGAGACGTTCTCCGATCGACTGGAACATGACCAGACCCAGAGGGATGCCCACCTATTGCGGGATATCTTAATAAGACTGGAAATTGGGATTGTAGCTTACTTACCATAGCATAGCCCATACAAAATGCTTTTCCCGGAATTGTGACTGGTGTGGAATGTCCATATCCTGAAGTAAATGATAGGAATATTAAATATTGAATACGAAGTATTTAATAGTTGTTCAAGTTACCTATCATAGCTAGTACAACCGTGCTGAAATAGAAAGCTCCAGCAAATTTCCATTGGGGTCCGGCCTTGTGAGGCTTATTTTCAATAATGACGATTTCCATCACACGAAAGTCCTCGTCAGTCACATTGTACTTTCTAACAAAGTTGTTTTTAACGGCTAAAATTAACTTCGTTAATACAAAAGTGGTTAACATTTCCATAAGCTTCTTACTCTGTAGAAAATCCCATCTCTTGGCCTCCGTTGGGGACTCCAGGGAATCGAAGACTGCGGCTCCAATTAAAAGATAGGTAAAAGTGCATACCACCAGGGAAAGGGTTCGGACATTCTGTCGCTTCATCATAAATGCCTTTCTTAATCTCAAATATCAGCTCTACTATGATTAATTAAAATTTTCTGCACAATGCGCCTTTTTTTATTCAGTTCAAGATGCTGCGTCTGACAAAATCGATAGTTGTCAGCAAAACAAACACACAGCATCCGCCAAAAATTGTTGATTTCGCTTACAGCAGCTCAGTAATAAAGAATTTTTCAAAGTTTAGCATTCTTTAAAAATGTAGGTATTTTTCTTTTATCAACTGCTTAAATTGCTTAACCGTTAATCTCAAAAAGATTGTGATATTACCGTTAGTTCCTCACAACAAACGCAACAGAGTTCGATGGAGTTGCCACTTGGCGGTAACTGTTAGCTCTGTTAACAGCTTTAATGCTATAATGCCATGATAACATTTGGATTTCATCTTTTATAATATGGACAAATATAAACATGAAATTGAATTTTTATTATAATTTTTGTTAATTACTTCAATATTTTTTCTTTTTCTAAGTCATCTTTACCGTTTAAAAGTTCACACAGTTTGCAGCGCCGATAACTTGACAGACTATCGATTTTCGGGAAAAGCAAACATATCGCCAGCTCTGATTTGTTTATGCTAAAAAAAACCACGCAAGTTCCAAGCGATTGGAGTGTTGCAGTTGGCTGCTGTGTCTCTGACGTCGACGTTTCCATGCTTAATTAACCGGAAAATGTTGCGAATACGTCGGCGCTTCGCCTTGGTAATTTGCTCTGGCTGCCTGCTGGTGTTCCTCAGCCTGTATATAATCCTCAACTTTGCGGCGCCGGCAGCCACCCAGATAAAGGTAAATAAATGCTTCTAAATCAATTCGAATGTATAACAAATTTTCTATTTTAGCAGCCTAACTATGAGAACATAGAGAACAAGCTACAGGAGCTGGAAAATGGTTTGCAGGAGCACGGGGAGGAGATGCGGAATCTTAGGGCGCGTCTGGCCAAAACATCCAACCGTGACGATCCAATAAGACCTCCACACAAAGTGGCCCGATCCCCGAGTCCAGGACAATGCCAGGATGTGGTCCAGGACGTGCCCAATGTGGAGGTACAGATGCTGGAGCTATACGATCGCATGTCCTTCAAGGACATCGATGGAGGCGTGTGGAAACAGGGCTGGAACATTAAGTACGATCCACTGAAGTACAATGCCCATCACAAACTGAAAGTCTTCGTGGTGCCGCACTCGCACAACGATCCTGGATGGATTCAGACGTTCGAGGACTACTATCAGCACGATACCAAGCACATCCTATCCAATGCGCTCCGGCATCTGCATGAAAATCCCGAGATGAAGTTCATCTGGGCGGAGATCTCATACTTCGCTCGATTTTATCACGATTTGGGCGAGAACAAAAAACTGCAAATGAAGTCGTAAGCATCTTTATTATATTGATACAATTATGAAAACCGGTAGTTTATCTACAAAACAAAGTGCATAGGCTTTTCGCTATTGTATGCTTTAAACTTTACACAGGTGTTTTGTGTAGCAATTACTACGTTATTGCGCTAAAACCGTTTAGATAAACAGAGTGCATTGTCACGAGTTGCTTGTTTTCCGAAACAGCGTGGTACTTATCTTCATATTATATATAACCCAAAGCAGTAAACATTTAAATTGGGGAATAGCAAGCGATAAGCTTGTGACTGCCAAGGTTTAGGATTATTCATTATTATTAATCATTTATTTATATATTTGCAGCATTGTGAAGAATGGACAGTTGGAATTTGTGACTGGAGGATGGGTAATGCCGGATGAGGCCAACTCCCACTGGAGAAACGTCCTGCTGCAGTTGACAGAAGGCCAAACCTGGCTGAAGCAATTCATGAATGTTACACCCACTGCCTCCTGGGCCATCGATCCCTTCGGACACAGTCCCACTATGCCGTATATTCTGCAGAAGAGTGGCTTTAAGAATTTGCTTATCCAGAGGACGCACTATTCGGTGAAGAAAGAATTGGCCCAACAGCGCCAGCTTGAGTTCCTTTGGCGGCAAATCTGGGATAACAAAGGGGACACAGCCCTTTTCACCCACATGATGCCCTTCTACTCGTACGACATTCCTCACACCTGTGGTCCGGATCCCAAGGTGTGCTGTCAGTTCGATTTCAAGCGAATGGGCCCCTTTGGCTTGAGCTGTCCGTGGAAGGTTCCACCTCGTGCAATCAGTGATCAAAATGTTGCAGCACGTTCAGATCTGCTGGTTGATCAGTGGAAGAAAAAGGCAGAGCTATATCGCACGAACGTCCTTCTGATTCCGTTGGGCGACGACTTCCGTTTCAAGCAGAACACCGAGTGGGATGTGCAGCGCGTGAACTACGAAAGGCTGTTTGACCACATCAACAGCCAGGCGCACTTCAATGTCCAGGCGCAGTTCGGCACATTGCAGGAATATTTCGATGCTGTGCACCAGGCGGAAAGGGCAGGCCAAGCCGAGTTTCCCACACTGAGCGGCGACTTTTTCACGTATGCCGATCGATCGGATAACTATTGGAGTGGCTACTACACATCTCGCCCGTATCATAAACGCATGGATCGCGTTCTGATGCACTATGTACGTGCAGCAGAAATGCTCTCTGCCTGGCACTCCTGGGACGGCATGGCCCGCATCGAGGAGCGTCTGGAGCAGGCCCGCAGGGAATTGTCATTGTTCCAGCACCACGACGGTATAACTGGCACTGCTAAGACGCACGTGGTCCTCGATTACGAGCAACGCATGCAGGAAGCGTTGAAAGCGTGTCAAATGGTAATGCAACAGTCGGTCTACCGTCTGCTGACAAAGCCGTCCATCTATAGTCCGGACTTCAGTTTCTCGTACTTTACGTTGGACGACTCCCGCTGGCCAGGATCTGGTGTGGAGGACAGTCGAACCACCATAATACTAGGCGAGGATATACTGCCCTCCAAGCATGTGGTGATGCACAACACCCTGCCCCACTGGCGGGAGCAGCTGGTGGACTTTTATGTATCCAGTCCGTTTGTAAGTGTTACCGACTTGGCAAACAATCCGGTGGAGGCACAGGTGTCCCCCGTGTGGAGCTGGCATCACGACACACTCACAAAGACTATCCATCCACAAGGCTCCACCACCAAGTACCGCATCATCTTCAAGGCTCGGGTGCCGCCAATGGGTCTGGCCACCTACGTTTTAACCATCTCCGATTCCAAGCCAGAGTGAGTAGCAGTTAAAACATTACCCATTCTTTCCGTACTTGATGTATTATTTGTACATTTTTTAAATGATTTGAC